CAAATGATGTTGTAATCTAGTGACATCAAGTTGCTCTCCATATGAAAGGCTGTGGATTTGATATAATCGGACGTTTAAATTGTAGATTGAAGCCCTCCAAACACTACTGGAAATTATGGAATTTCCGACCACCTGAAAGTGATCTTAAATCAAGTCGAAAGTCTTGTTCCGACCACTTTTGGTATCCGGAAAAACCTTTATTGCTATTTTCGACCACTTTTTAAACTTTTTGGTATCAACTTGATTTAAGATCACTTTCAGGTGGTCGAAAATTCCATAATTTCTCGTAGTGAAAGGCTAATGATGACCAATCAAGGTTTGGGTTCATGATTATATTGAAAACGGTAGTAGATTTGTGGAAGAAGGATGGATAGATCATGGATGACAGCACATGTTGTACGTTGTATTCACAAAAATCATTGTACTCATAAATTGGTAAATCTTGATCATTTGTCACCCATGATTTACAATTTTGAAGAATCCATTAGTGACTTTTGTCATCAAATCATGTGGGAGAGTGTTAATTGTTGGAAATTGATTAGATTTTAGTTTTTATTCTCCATTTCTTTGTATAAAAAATGTATATATATATATATATATATATATATTAAATTTGAACAAAATATTTCATGTGGGATATGATCTGTCCGCTGCTGTTGACGATTGTCCAACAATTTAAAAGTGAAAAATAACTTCTTAATCACATCCCCCAAATCACCATTTCTTGCTGCAATTCAACACCACTCTATATGCCTTAAACATTCTTCTCCCATGAAAGATCAGACCTTAGCTTCAATAATATTCTCCATGTCCATAGCAAAATTTTATTTCCGTTCGTTAAATTTGCATGATGTTACCCCATGCATGACCATGCTTAAAATACCAAGTACAATAAATTGTAATATTTTTCATACATAAATTAAAGGCTCATAATATGGTAATGGCAGATACATTGACAGGATCAAGTGCTTATCACTACATCAAGAGTTATAGCTCGCAGTGAAAATGCAACTTTATTTCTTTATTATATATCGCCACATTTGTAGAGACAGGGTATTGGACTTGGTCATTTACTGATCCCTCCCCCCCGAATCCCCTAGTCATCACTGGCTTCTGCCGAACACACATAATATGTAGTTAACATATTATGTGTCTATGCTTAACAAATTATGTGTGCGCATTCAATTTATTTATAAACACATAATTTATTAATTAAAGATACAATAGCTTAACTGTCGACACATAATTTTTGGATCAAAATTAACAATGCAAGGTGGACCTGATCCAATTGGCTTCTAGACAAATTCAATTCATTTACAAGTCTAAAGTCTTCTATTAAAACCATTTCTTGCTCATATATATGTTTAGGCAATAGTGGACTTACATGAAATATTTAGGCTGACTGGGACCTACCTTTTGGCTTGTGATGATTGGAAAACACAACTTTTACATTGATTTCTGATCAGATGTTTTCTTGTATTCTTAAACTTGCTTTGATTATCCTTTGAAGGTCCAAAATTCATTGTTTGAAGTTGGGTTGCTTAATTGCTTGTTTGGTGTGTGATTTACATTTATTGTTTACCTGAATGTTATATATTGCTAATTATTCGGCATCAATAAACTTAAGTTTGTTTAAGCTTCCAAATTCCAATGTTATATTTAGATTTCACTTAAAATTTTAGTACGATAATACATAATTGATATTGAAAGACTAAAATATAAAATTCTTGTCAAAACATAATTAAATTATTATTTAAATTCTAAATTTAAATGTCACCATAATCCAAAACTAAATTCAGAATTAACTCCTACATTTATTATGAAAATGTTGAAATTGGCATCCACTAAATTTACAAATGCGCCCTCTGTTCTTCGAAAATGTTGAATCCCCAATTTTAAGAAGCTTCACACTTCGCCCCGATAAAGTATTTAGGAGAATATAAATCAACGTAGCGCGCTAAGGCAGTAGGCAGGGATAGATATCGGTGTGCACAAGGGATCTGTCCAGTTTGGACATAATTCTCACATTACCGCTGTCAAGGTTCGAACATTGATCTCTTCTCCCAAATACTACTTACTGAATCAGTGAGTTAAGCCTGTGTGGACTACAAATGCGCTCTCTTTTATGTGAGCGTTGCCTTAGCTTGTCATCAAGTTGTCGTTTGGCGTTGTTGGTGATATAATAATAATAGCTTTGTGCTTAAATAATTTTTTTTGTCTCTATTCATAATTTATGGAGTGAACTATGAAGAATATAATTACACTGCAACGCCCATTGTTGTGAGAGGGATTTAGAGCATAGCTTTGGGCTTTGGGGAGGTGTGGAATTTTGAGACGGTGGAGCAATTTACAATGAAACAACTTGCTCATGCTCAGCTCCTCATGCACAATCCTTGTTCTTGTAGCCGGATAATACAAGAATGATCATGCCAAAACAAATTAACAATGTTTGTTTCATGGAATGAATTTTAGGAGAATAAAAATATTATTTTATAGGAAAAGAGTTAAATAAACTCTTAAATTTTACTCGAAAAGTCAATTAGGTCTCTAAACTTTAAAACGTTGCAATTCAACGTATAAACATGTTATTGGTGTGTTGAAACCCAACAACCGATTGATGCGCTGCTATTACAGGTTACTACGGTTCGGACGACTTTCCGACCAGGGTTTTGGCATCATAAAAAAAACGGGAGAATACTCAAGATAGTTAAGTCTCGGAAGGATGCAAGTTTGCAAATCCACGACTAATGAGAGAGAATTCTCAAGAGCGCTGCTAACAAATCAAAGTCAAAGCTCAAGACGTCGGCGATCATTAAGAAGATCTCAAGCCAAGTCTTCATCATTTGAAGTGTCAACAAATTTTGTGTAATCAACCAACAATCTCTACTTAGAGAAGTAGAAAGAGGCGGAGTAACAAGTGATTTATACTTGTGAAAAACTTTAGACTTGAGGCGGACTTTGTGATCAAGGCTTAAGTTCTCTTTTTGTACTAAGTGAAAATAGTGCAATCCTCCTAAGAGTTATAGGAGAAGAGTGAAGTAGGTTGGGTTTGACTGAACCATTATAAATCTCTCTCTCTCTCTCTCTCTCTGTGTGTCCTAAATTATAGAATAATTGTACAATTCGTCGCTGAGAGTTGGTCATGCTCACTTTTCATCCCTAAGTTATCATTAATTGACATTGTACTTTTCATCCTTTTGTGCTCACTTTTCGTCCATGAATTATACTAAAATTGTAAATTTCGTCCCTAATGTTTTATTAGTAAAGAGACGAGAAGTGCAACGCCAATGATAACTTAGCGACGAAATTAAAAGTGAGTATGAGTGTATGGCCAACACTTAGAGATTAATTCTATAATTACCATATAACTTACGGACGAAAAGTGTAATTTTTCCTTATAAAAATTACCAACATCATTTCTATTAAGCTAAACGTTTTGTTAATGTCATCAAGCCGAGTTGGTTAAGTAATTGTTCAAAAAGAAAAAAGTTCAATTCTTTGTAGAAGTTACCTATTGACCTTCTTGGTTTAAGACTTGCTAGTCAATTATAAAAAATTGCACACGTTCGAGTAGTGACTGCGGACTTTTTCACAGATCAAGTCTAAATGTTACTGTCAAACCTTTTTTTCTTTTTGAATGCTACTGATTCTATTACATTGTAGTATCTATTCAAACATACTTTCTCAACCTAATAAAGCACAAAGAGTCAACAACGCCTCCACTGAGGCTCGATCTCATGACCATAGTGTCAAACCTAACCTAACTAAATAATAAATCTCTATATAAAGTAAATGAGGTAATTCCACGAGATTACGCGTTACCATAATTAGTCCACTGATTTTTAATGTAATCACATTAAGTCCCACGACATTACTAATAATGTCACTTTTGGTCCTCTATTACAATTTTCATTAAAGAAATGTTAATTTCTAAGGCAATTTGGTATTTTACAATCTTACTTTTCTCTTCTTGTTGAAACAAAAGCTCATAAATGATATAATAAACAATAATTTGATAAACTTTTTAATGAAAAAATAGTGCTTTTTAAAAATAGTATAGCATTTATGAGCATTTTTAGGTAAAAATAGAAGATTGGAATTGTCAAATTACCAAATTGTTCAAAAATTAAAGATAATTAGATTTAAAAAAATAATACACGACCAAATGTGACAATGCCAACAAAGTCAACGAACTAAATATGGTAAAATTAAAAGTCAATGATTAAATGTGACAATGACAAAATAGTCATAAAACTAAAAGTGAAATTATTTCTAAATTTGAGTTTAAACTGAAAAATATATTATGAAAAGTGCAATTTTTAGTTCCTCAATTATTCTTGAATAATCAATTTTAGTCATTAACAATTGCCAATAGTAAAATTATTTTTTAATGTTGTAGTTATGTGCAAATTTGGTCCCGATGTTACCATACTAGCAACTATCAATTTTTTGTATGAGTCAGTCAAGTATGTGCAACCTAGGATGATTATCTTTTTATGGTCCTTTGTTGATAAGAATTATAAGACGATTTCATCCAAAACGCATATTCAGATAGTAATGAAGGTTTTCTTGTAAAAAGGAACGACGATTGATTGTAAACGGTAGCTAGAGGAGCAAAATCATACATATTTGACTTAGTAATTTCTATAATTAACAAATTTTTGTGACTAAATTAAACAAGAATAATGAAGGAATGGAGTGGCCAATGATCTTGTGGTCTAGTGGTACGAAGTGGCTATCCTAAATAGGAGGTCATGGATTGTACTTCAATAGGTTGAGAAAGTAGTTATGATCGCTCAAAAAAACAATAATTAAACAAGAATAATGAAGGAATTAAAATTGTTTTTTTTTTTTCATAACTTTATGGTTCAATTATTTATTTCTTAATTATTAAGTCAAAATTTTGACAGATTAACACAAAATAATAATAATAATAATAATAATAATAATAATAATAATAATAATAATAATAATAATAATAATAATAATAATAATAAGAAGGAGATATTAACTGTATATATATACTTCATTCACCATGATGATCAATAAATTAGCAACCTATAACATCATCCTGCTATATGTCTTCCTCACTTCTTCCCTTTCTGTGTACAATATATAATACTAATAACAAAATAAAAAGTAGAAACAAATTCTTAAATTAAAATTTAAGAATTAATCCCACTTTCTACTTTTTAACAGTACATAAAATTCTACTTTGGTTGATACAGTTCCCCCAAACAAACAGGCAAACAAAAGTGAAATGTTACATCAAAAGTAGATATACTTCTAATTTTCATCTCTCAAATATTAAATTTAAAATCGACCAAATTTGATTCTCGATTATTAAAAAGCACTGTATTTGTTTATGATGTTACTCATAGTCTTAATCAAAGACTATATTTGACGTATTTTTAATATTTAGAAATCAAATTTGGCCAGCTTTAAATTCAAAAACCGAATATAAAAAGATCAAAACTGAAATTAACTTTTATATAACATGTGTGATTGTTTTGAAGCTAAAATTAAATTTTTTTTTTTTAAAAAAGGAAAATTATTTTCTAGTATGAAATTTTGTTCTAAAATTTGAACTACCTAGTATGAGGAGTAATTTTGATGACAAGGCCGGGGAAGACATCATCGGGATCATGGATGTGGGGGTTCTGCTCCACGATGTAAGGATCGCCGCACTTATCGCTGATGGTGTGGAGCGTTTCGCCTTCTCCGACCACATAGATTTCGTCGCACGGCCGGTTGTTGGACAGCTGATTTCCTCGTACGGAAACGCCGTCGGCGGCGGCAGAGCCGTCTGAGGAGTTGTCGGAGCAGAGCAGGAGGAGACAGAGCAGGACGATTCCGCAGTACCAGGAGGCGGCGTCTGCTATGGCTAGCTGTGTTTTCATGGACTTTGTTGATGAGCTGAAGAAATCCATGTTAACACACAGAGAGAGAGAGAGAGAGAGAGAGAGAGAAAGGAATTGGGAATGGCTTTTGCCTTCTGAGTTCTGAGAATTTTGAAATGATTTTGGTTGGATATATAGGCATGGAAAAAATAGAACGGAGGGAGAATTTTTATTTTTTAATTCTGTTATATCTTCTTAATTTTGGTTTATAAAATGGACTCAATTGAACAAATATAAAAATATAAAAATTTGAATAGTAAGTGCTAAGCGAGTTGTTATACTATGGACTAGGATCGCAAGGTGAATTCGGGTCTAAAATACACAATTTACATATTGAATATAATGTTCACAATTTACATACTGAATGTTCATAATTTACCTTTTATAAAATTGTGAACATTCAGTATGTAAATTGTGTATTTTGGACATGAGTCCACCTTACAAGGGCCCATCCGGCATAGTATAATTACTACCAGAGTTAATACTTGAAATGGTCCTTCGAGTATTAGCGATTTACTAGTTGTGGTCATCCAAGTTTTAAATAACCTTCAATGGTCCTCCATGTTTTAAAAAATAACCACAAGTGGTCCTTTTAGGACGTCTCGTAGTCATTTTAAATTCGAGTTTTTTTAAGAATTAGGACCGCGGGTGGTTAGTTTTTAAAACATGGAGGACTATTGGAGGTCATTTAAAACTCAGAGGACTACATCTGGTAAACTCCTAATACTCGGAGGACTATTGGATGTATTAACTCATTACTAGTATGACAAATTATATTGGGTATCTCTAGTCCATCTTATAAAGCAAGTCTTAATATATGTTCTTTTTAGTACATTACAGGTTTACTTTTAATGTATTAGAAGTTTATTTATAATAGTGATACAAGTTAATTTTTAGCATATATTATAATTTTATTTTTAGTGTATTGCAAATCAAAACCAACTTGTAATACATTATAGTAACAATATGAGGTATTATTTTTTGGGAAGAATTATTTGGAATTCTTAAGGAGAGTAGTGGGCATGTGATCTTTCTTTTAGATTGACATTTATTATAGTCATTTATTGTGTTGTCATAAGGGTTTTTATATAGTGTAACTTGAGTGCCAATTCAATGACTTTGTGGTTGAATGACATGAAGTGACTCTCCTGAATGGGAGATAATGAGATCAAATCTAGTGGGGCGATATTGACTCTTTGTACTTTAATAGGTTGAGAAAGTATATTTAAACATATATTACAATAGAAGTTAGTAATACTCAAAAAAAAAAAAAAAAAATACTTGAGATCACTATATGAAGAATATATTCAAAAGGAGGTCAATGTTAGTTTCAAAAACCATATATAGTACCATGATTTGTCCATACTTGGATGATAAGGCTTTAATCGTCCTTAAAGGGTTTGAACATGATTATCTTTGTTGACATAGTTAGACTTGTCAGGTCTCGTTTTATGTAGTTATTGATTGGTATTTGTATTCATTTTGGGAGGAAAAAAACAAAGAGAAAGAATTGTATCATTTTCCCTTTACTATAAACGAATGAATTAGGATTCTTGTACCTAAATTCAAAAATTCAATTCTAGCCAACACTATATCGGTCGAGTTCATTGTACATGATCTTTCATTTATAGTTTACTTTTTTTTTTTTTTTATGTGATTTGAGCGTTATTATGTTGGAACGAGGTTTACACCGTACATACCTTTGGTGATAGCTACGAGCTTCATGGGTAAAAGAAAAAGAGAGATAATACTGATTTTTAAAAATAGTAAAGTAAAACTACTTCTATTTATAAAAATATCATCACATTTTCTATTTATAAAATGTTACTTTTCAAAAGCATAAATTAAATTAGAAATTTATAATAAAATATATAAAAAAATAAACGGGCAAATAAAAATTAGTTTAATTTTTAAATATTAAATATAATAGGTAAAATATAACTTAGGGGTATTGTTTTTGGCAAATTATACCGTGCACCAGGGCGCGCAATCTGGCCTAAAACGATGTCATTTTGTACCTTTTCACGTGTCTGTTATTAACTCCATAAAAAATTCATGTTTCGAATGTACAGAATTGTATAATAGAATACACCGAATTTTATACCTGAAAGCACATAATTTTATAACTGAATACACATAATCTTTTTTGATAGGATAATACAAATAATCTAACATTATACATAATATACATAAACTCTTAACATAATACACATAAACTCTTAACTATTTTTTTAAAAAAATCCATGTTTGAATGTACAGAATTATATAATAGAATGCATAGAATTTTATACCTGAAAACACAGAATTTTATACTTGAAAACGCAGAATTTTATAATTGAAAATTCTCATGTTTCGAATGTATAGAATTACATAATAGAATGCACAAAATTTTATACCTGAAGTTAACAAAACGACATCGTTTTGAGAAGCGCGGAACGCACATTATTACGTGCGCTCTGGTGCATGGTATAACGATTGATTGTTTTTCTTTCTCTACTTTTTATGGGCTTTTACAGAGTTCAAACTTCAAAGTATGGATTTTTTTTAAGTGCCTTGTTTCATTGAATGTGCAAATTCCTTTCTTTTTTTTGTCGGTCTCCATTTTTTCGGCAAATTATGATCCACACAGTATTTTGTGGACTATAACAAAAAATATTTTTAATATACTAAAAGTATATCATTTATGTAATGAATGTATATTATTTGATAGTATGGTTCACACATGATTCACACAATAATAATTATATTTTTTCAACAAAACTTTAAGGTAAAAATAAAAATTCCAATGTACTTCAGTATATAAGAAAAATCACATTTTGTTATTTTCAAATGATAACTTATGTATATGAAAATGTAAATTAAATTATAGTCAAATGATAAATAAATACAATTGATTATGGATAAAGGTAACACCGCAACATTAAATTGGTGAAATTATTATTACTTTAAATAATAATAAAAAACGGCTAACAAACGATCACCAAACAATAAATTGTGGGGAAAAAAAAGCAATAAATTTTAGGTCAGCAAAAATTGAAAGCACCGTTTAGTACTCAATATTCTAATAGTGTTTTAAGAAAATTATATTGTGCACTTTAAGATCCATATTTATAAATTAGATCCTGATACATATTTTTTTTATGTACGACATTTTCAATTTTAGTATCTTTCTTATATTTTGATATATGTTCATTTTTAATGTTTTTCATATTTATTTTTAGTGTATTACGTTGAAATAAATTTATAATATATTAAAAATAAATATATACGTATTAATTTCTCATCTTAGTATGTGAATCTTAGCCAAAGATATAACCATCAAGTGTTTTATTGGTCGGCTAAAATTTTTGGGAAAGAAGAAAGAAAATGCATTATATATATGCACGGGATGGGGCAATTGGGCGTGGACGGTTGAGTGGGTCGTTGGTGGATCGTTCAATAAGGTTTAGACTTGGGGACGTTGACTGTTGAGTTCAAGTGTTTCAAATTTTGAATGGGTCTACGATTATTATTGCACCATTGAAATTTTAAATATGGATAATTGACACCCATTATTCACTTCAATTCTTTTGTCCATTTTCACTTTATTTCTTGGAATAACAAAAATAATAATTAAAATCACCAATTAGACTATGTAAGTTCGAACCTCGGCAGTGACAGTATGTGAATTATATTCAAAGTGGGCAAATCCTTTATGCGCACGACATTTGGCTCTATCGGCTAAGCCATTGAGTCAATATGATTTATATCTCCTAAATGCTCTGTCGGGCTGGGGTGTGGGGGACTCTTGGAGTTGGGGATTCAACCTTATGGGAGAAGAAAGCTAACGAGCCAAGCTGCGTTTGAATTTAGGTAGACTCAAATTTGAAATTGAATAGTTATAGTAGCTCAAGTTCGAGTTTAAGATTGGTCGAGCTTGAAAGTTTAGGCTAGAGTTATATTCGTTAATTTTTATAATGCAAAAACCTCACAAGTAAAAAATCATGGGCAGCTCAATGATGGCTTCTTCTTATGGGAGAAGAAGATTAATGATGGATTCTTCTAATGGGAGAAGAAGATTAATGATGGCTTGTGACCAGTGACCACCCACTTCCAAGATTCTCTCCAAATTATTACAATCTAGGTAGCAATAATATAGAACACAAAACGTATGTAAGATGGAAAGTAACTCTGGTTTTTTTTTTTTTTTTTTTTTTTTTTTTTTTTTTTTTTTTAAATGTAGGCCAAATCATGCAAATGTTAAAATATAAATGCACAAATATTTTTTTAATATGTATAAATATTAATTGTCTACTAGTATAAATATAAATGCACAAATAATTTTGCTATAAAAATATTTTTAACAAAATATGAAACATAATCAATTAGATAAAATAATTTGAATAGAAAAGATACTATAATCATAAATAATTTTTAATTTTAATTTCTTTTAGTTATCAACTTTAAGTTTTTTTCTAAATTAATTCGAATACGATGAACTATAATATAAAAAAATAAATAAATAAACCTCTATACTATATTAATTAAATGATTCATAAAAAGTAGACTAAAAGAACATAGGGTCCGTTTACTAACGGAAACTGTTCTCCGTTCCCAGTTTTCTAATTTTCAGTTTTAATTCTTTGTTTTACATTCTCTGTTTTATGTTTAGAAAACTTGTTTACTAACACTCATTTTTTTAATTTTTTTTTATAGATTAACATTATAAAATTAACACAAGTTTAATTTTGATTATTTTTTTCACCTTATATTTAAAATATTTTTTAGATATGTTTGGTTTAAATAGAATAAATATAATTTTTACTTTTAAGTCAAATACAAATATTTTTAAGTCTATTTTTATTAAATTTAATTTAAAATATTAAACGACGTCGATTTGTGATTTGAACCAACGTTGTTTATTTTTTAAACAATAATATTATATTCATTTGAATGACATGTATGTAATTATATAATTTTTTTTCATTTGAATTCTACTATATGTGAAATTTCAATATCTGAATCCGAACCAATAATATATTTAGTTCAATCCAAATCTAAAACTTGGTATAAAGTTCAATTTTTTATTTTGATAATGTGAATAATGTCTAACTTTAAG